ATTCTCGCAGAAGTCACCTCCAGAGCAGCCAAACAACTAGTCCATACTGGTAAGCCAAATGGGAAGTGTGTTGGGAAAGTGTTTTCCAGCAGCAAGTCCATGATCACAGAAAAACCAGAAAGCAAAGTAGCTGTTCCTTCCTAGGAGTAATGAGCGTATTCTCTAAAGTGGCACATATTTGCTTTTGACGTTCCACTTTTAAAAAAAATACAAGTGAGAAAAAAGTTAAGCAGGCAAGCTCTGGGGGAAAAAAAAAAGACAAAATTGGCCATGCAAAACAAAATCACTGAAGAGAAATCATGAAAGAGGTCTACAATAGCATATAAAACAATGAGCAGTCTTGTGGAACTCTAAAGACTAACAAATATATATATAGTATCATGAGCATTCATGAGCAAAACACACATCTTCAAATGAGCTTGAGTGGAGGAAAAACAAAGGCTGGTCTTGAGGACAGATTCAGTTATTTAAGTTGTAACACTGAAAAAAAATGCCCAAAGATCTCTAAATGCAGACAAAAACTATCTTTTAGATTCTATGCCCTGACACATTCTGCAGGGAAACTCAGAAAAGACTCCAGTTCAAAAACAAAGGACTAGAATGTAACTAGCAGAAGGTAAGTTCAGATTTCTGGTTCTGGAAGAGGCTGGCTGCTCTCTCACGGGGCTGACTAAAGAGGGAAGAGCCTAAAATGGAACCTACTATAATTTAACTGGTGGTTTATTCCTGGCCAGAACAAACTTTGCTTTAATTGCTGAGGTGCATTAGTCCCTAAAAAGCATACACATTTCTACAGAGAGCCTATTTCAAATGGACTCACTGGGCAGAGCTCATGGTAAGAAACAGGTGTGCTGGAGTACAGAGCCTTTAGCGATGGTGCTTACCCTAATAGAAGAATGGGAGTCCATGGGAGCCTCATACAGGATAGGGGTTCCTTCAGGAGACTGTTTAAAAGCTGGGGCATAGCATCAATCCTGCATCTTTGCACGAGTTTCCCCTCTTCAAACTAAAGGATGGTGACCCTGCCTTGTTTTTATTTTTCTATTCACAAACTGACTAATAATTTCATATGGCTAGTGCATCATCTCCTCTTAGGTCAAGATCAACTACTTCTCAGACAACTTTTAGATACATGTAAACTGGCTGAAAAACAGTAAGTTTTTACCTAGTTCTAAAAGATCATGGAGGTTTCTCATAGCATTGGTCATTTCTCCAAGTTTTGTGTAAACTTCATTCATTCGTGGATAAACTCCATTCAGAGAATTCACATCAAACAATTTTTGGAAGTGACACACAATTGCATATAATGTCTGTAAAGAAGGCATGTGGCCATTCTGTAGCAAGCACAAAAAATAACTTGTTAGAAAAAATTATTGCTTAGCAATACCCTTTAAACAATGAACCACATGTAAACTAAGCTCTGAAGAAAATTAGACCAACAGTAGGAATGAATTCATTCCGACAAGACATTCTTTAAAAAAGTGCTTAGCCAGAAATGTCCAACAATGTTCTTTTGAGATTAGGGTAACCTCACTTTTAATGGACTGGAGAATATATGTAAGGATTTTCATTTCTGATTTAGAACTAGACAAAATAAGATAAGGGCTAAAATGATGATTACACATCTTTAAGCCAAATCCATGCCTTGTCTAATTCCTTTGATTAAAGTTATACCTGGCATTAAACAATATTAATAGTTTTACCATCATATTTATTTTCATGCATCTTGCTCTGAAGCCTTGTACAGGCTTGGAAATGCACAACTCTAAATTAATATACAAAGAATACAAACATGAATTTCAGAGAAGTTTGAGATATAGAAAACAAACTTCTGAAAACTTACCTTCTCCTTATTTTCTACTTCTTCCAAAATTGTATCTACTATGAACTGTAGGTCTTCTACACGAATGCATTCACTGTTACATGTGTCTATTGTGTGCCAGGGCACCAATTCCAGGGATAGCTTTCTCAGGGATCTATGTAAGTCCTTTTGTAACAGATAAATAATTCAACTATTAAAGGCTGCTCAAATTTTAAAGAAGAATACCAGGAACTTAATTATTTTATAAATAAGAATTAGACTAATTTAGTGCAAGATGCATAATCCAGTGTTGCAGATTGTAGATTCATTTTTCATGAAACCAGTAAACAGAAGCTTTTTGTTTATTCTAAGTCTCAAGCAGAACAATGTGCATGTGTGATTTTTTTCTTGAAGTATAGCTAATAACACTTTAACACCATCCTAACAGTTCATTTCAGTGGGAATGGCTTAAAACATAACATCTTTATTTACACACACAAAAAAACCCCCCAAATAGTCTGGAAAGAAAGACAACAGAACACCAGAACATAAAATACACAGAATATAAATCTTACAGTTATTTCAGTGACTCAAATTATGTGAAGAGTAATCCAAATATGTGGTATGATATAATATTTGAGTGGAGGAATATACGTAACCCTTTTCCATATCACAGGACCTAACCAGGGTGAATAATTGATTTTTCAATTCATCGGCAAGTTCAGAAAGTTTCTAAAAAATTGTTTCAGGTCAAATTAAAATCTTTATTTCACTTTTGACCATTTTTACACAATTGAATTTTTTAAAAATAAAATTACAGGAAATTTTTAAACTATTGTTGCAAACTGAAAAATTGAAACACTATTTTGAAGTGAAACAAAACATTTGATTATGTTTTTTGGAGAAAGGGGTTTTTTAATGAACTATCTGACAAAAGACATGAATTTGCAAAGTGGTTCTGTGTCATCGAATTTCTATTTTCCAAGAAAAAATTTGCCTAGCTATATCCAGAATACTACATTTTAGAGGGGTATGTGAATTAAGTGACTGGAATAACAGCACAAGATTCTTTTTCTAAGCTACATATGCTAACATAAAACATGGAAAGAAAGGGAGAGTCATAAGCAGGGCTCGCCGAACCACGGCTAGCCCTGCTCGCCAGCTGCGCTGTCTGGCGATCTGCGCATGCACAGATCGCCCAAACCCGGCTCTCCCGGGTTACAATCTACTCTCCCGTGGAGAGTAGATTGTATTATTTGTTAAGCCTTGGTCATAAGTTCAGGAATACTAAGCTAAGTACAATAATTTATTACCTTTAGGGACATTAGCTGGTCTGCCCACATTTCTACTGTAGGAGGAAGGTGCTCAAAACCACATTCTTGTCCATTCTCTTTCATGTAATTTTGGACTGGTCCTTTACTCCGCTTATATATTACCAAAGGAGCTCTTGGACTACTAATAGTAGAATCAATCCTGGACAGCACCTGTACAACCAAATAAATATTTTAATGTTCAAATAATTACACAATGCTCTGGTTTTTAGCCTACGAAAATATCTTAGTTTCAATATTTATTGAACAGTGTGAACGTGTATCTGTATATTTGAATACTAATCTATGTAACTGATTAGAAGACAAAGACCTAGTCAGTCACCTTACCATTAACAAGCTACTTACAACTTTCACTAACCGTAAAAAAGAGTGCACAGTTCACAAAGAAGGTTTAGAGAAAAATCTTACAAGACAAGCTTTAAAAAAGTTGTTTTTCAAGCCCTCAAAACAGTTATACATAAAGGGACAGACTCATGGAAATTTGGTATTCATACAAAATGTCTCAACAGTACTACACAGATACAAATTCAACCAACTAAATTTGTAAATTTTAGCCAAAATACTTACATGCAATGCTACTGCAAAAAAACAAAACAAAAAAACCCAAAACAAAACACAAACAAAAAAACCCTGATTCCTTTGGAAATTGTATTCACGGCACTTACAGTATTTTGTTCAAATGAACAGAAGTAACACACTAATCCATAAAAATGGGGGGAAGAGGTAAAGACAAATAGCTGGTTTGGAATACTGAGGTTTATTAGAGTAATGAGCAACACACAGGCTTGGAGAAGAAAAAAGAAGCAGTAAAAGCAATGTTGCAGGCTAACAGTGAATGTCTTTGCCCTGTTCTAGAGCATTACTTCTTGCCTTGAACATGACCAGGTGATAGAATGTATCATCTGTGACCAAGCAAAACTACATAAGATTGGCCATACTGGCTCAGAATAATAGTCCATCCAGCCCAGTATCTTTTCTTCAAATAGTGGCTGGTGCCAGATGCTTCAGAGGCAATAAACAGTTAGAACAGGACCATCATCAAGTGATCCATCCCACTGTCCAAACACAGCTTCTGGCAATCAGCAGTTTAGGGATGCATAGAGATGGAGCTGCATCCCTGACCATCATGAGTAACAGCCACTGATGGACCTATCCCCCATGAATTTATTTAATGGTTCTTGAACCCTATTATATTTTTGGCCTTCACAACATCCTCTGACAAAAGGCCATAGGTTGTGTGTTGTGTGGCAAAAGTACTTCCTTTTGCTTTAAACCTGCTGCCTAGTCAATGATTGGATGACTCCTGGTTCTTGTGTTCTGTGAAGGGTAAATAACACTTCCTTATTCACTTTCTCCACACCATTCATGATATCAACTGCTATTATATCCTCTATTAGTCTCTAAGATGAACAGTTCCAGTTTTTTTAAACACTCCTCATACAGCTGTTCCATACCCCTAATAATTTGTTGCCTCTCTGTACCCAGAATTCCCTGCAGTATTAGAGGTGTGGACATAGAATGCAAAGAGGATTGTGCTGTGATGGGCGACGGGAGGCAAAAGAGTGGGGAGTAAAGGAAAGTGCAGCTTCTGCAAAGGAAATCTGTATCCCCACTCACATCTTCCATCTGTTTCAGCCTTGCTCCCCTCAGCCACATGATCCCCGCCCTCTCCCCCCACAACATGATCCCCTCGCATCACCCCATCCCTCTGCAGTGCAGCCCCTGCCACCTGCCATCCTCCCCCTGCATCCTCCTTCACCCCCTCCTACCCGCACATCCCTGTTTCCTTTAGCACACTCACTGGCAGGAGAGTAAGCACTGGGACTCGCAGCCCCCAGGAGCAGAGCTGGAGCGAGGGGGGGCAGAGTCACTTCCCTGACAGGTCCAGCCTTTTGCCCAGGGCTCACCCTCACCTGCAGGCTGTGGATCTGGGCATAGCAGGATGCTGGTGAATGGGCTCCCTGCCCTTCCCCACCACACACACAAACCTTGTGGGGAGCAGTGCAGCACATCTCAGGCCCTGGCACCCACATGTGACCCAGTATATTATCCAAATCCTCGCTGATTCCCTTGAAGAATTTAATAGATTGTTGAGGCATGATTTTCCTTTTAAAAAAGCCATGTTGACTCTTCACTCAACATACCATGTTCATCTGTATGTCTGATAATTCTGTTCTTTACAGTAGCTAGACATTACCAATCACTTTTTGAGTTATTCAGAAATATTTGCAGCACTTGATTAACAGCCATGGGATAAGTGTTTGTATTCGAGATATAAAATCCCGGTTAGTCAGTTAAACATTAGGTCTGCCTAGCGTTTAACAAGTTAAACAACAAAGGTGGGGCTGCCAGCCCAGCACTGGGACTGCAGCTACTGCTGGCTCCCAGCTGCTATCAGAGCAGCCCCTGCCTGCAGTGTGGGTAGCCCACCATGGGTAGAGGCTTCTCTGGAGAGAGAAGTTCCTGTCTATGGTGAGCTCCAGCCCACAGCAGATGGGAGCTGCTCCAGCCCCTCCTTGTTACCAGTCAACCAGAACCAGTAAGCATTACCCCCTTCAGTCCCTCCACACCTCTTAAGGCCTTGTAGCTTAAGTACTGCAAAGTGAGCAGACTATCTGTTCTTGAAAACATTTTAGACAGTGACAACTTCTGTGCTCCGTCAATCCATTCTTTGCCTACTTGCAATTTGAAGTGGTAACTTACACTAAAATAGATTCATGATGAACAGCCTGATCCTTAGTGCAAAAATGCTCACTATTAGGAACTATAATGCATAGGTCTACACATGAAAACTGATTCACAACACCACATGCTTAAGCTTAAATAGTCATATCAGATTAGTCTTCTATGGTTCAATATAAAAGTTAGCTATAATTAAAAATAAGCCATTCAAAATCTGTATCTGTACCTGTAAGTATCTCCTGCAACCTGCTTGTAGCTTATCTTCTCCTGTGAAACTCTCAGATTCATTTTCTTTTATCTTTTCTCCGCAAATAATCCCATGTGATCTAAGTGCAAAACAAATACAGTATTTCATACAAGGTCTCTTAATAGCATTATTTAGTTTCAAGGTGATTAAGGAAAAATACATTGGCACTTACAGCTAAAAATCTCCATTTTTTTTAGTCTTATATTTATGCAGGCTGCTTTTTACTAGGGATGTAAAATACCAGTTAATGGAATAAACTGGGGGGAGGAGGGGGAAGGAGGGAAGGCCTACTCCAGCCAGGCTGGAACACACCCACCCACAGTGGACCCCGCCAGACTGGAGCAGCCCCCTGCCTGCGGCAGGTGGGTGAGGGCTGCTTCAGCCCACAGGTTAGCCATAATTAGTAATGCTTACCAGTTAACCATTCACATCCCTACTTTATACATTTTTTTTTCATTTTTATCCTATTACTGAAATCAGATATTAAACAAAGTTTTAAAATTAAAAGTTGTGCCACAAATGCTGAACATATTAAAGTTCAAAGGTCAAAGCTGACACTGAACTTACTAACATGCTATTCCCCAATTGTGATTAGATGCTGAAAGTCAATATGCAAAGTATACTACAACAGCATAAAGGTAACCAGGGATGAACATGTCCCACAACAACCATATTTAAACTATGTTTAGCATGGCTTAGCAAGGGCTAAAGTGTATTATCCTCATTATGTTCAGCAATATCTGGCTATACATTAAGTCCCACTGACATGAACTATTTGAGCAGCAAGACATTACTGGAGTATCATAATCTAGCCCCAGAAATTTCTGCTCTGAATCTTCAAGGTACTTCACAATTGTATTCCAGTCAACATCTCCACTGTAATACCTTTCTAAATTCAGGCACACCTGCTCTTTTCAAGCATTCCCCACCTTTAATGGAGAAATTTTTGTAGTTCTTACAGTGGTCAAAAAGTTAAATTAATTAGAATTTTAATTGAGTAGGGACCACAGAATTTGGTCCTTTCTGTGTTTATAGGCATTCGGACATTTTTATAGCATTGATTGCCATATTAGCAGAGTACCTTCCTTACATACTGCTTCTTGATCACCTTATTTCACTGAGAGAGACAAACAACCTCTCTTCAAATACACTTCTGAGAAGCCTATCACTATAAATCCATTATCCATATTATTTATTAAATTAACAGATGAGAAAATGTTACCAATAAAAACCTCCTCCAGTTACGCCAGGTTTCTAACACTTTTAAGACTCTTACTTAACAAGGTTGCAACAAGTCTCAGAGGAGTAGCTGTGTTAGCCTGTATCTGCAAAAACAATCAGGAGTCCTGTTGCACCTTACAGACTAATAGATTTATTTGGGCATAAGCTTTTATGGGTAAAAACCACTGCCTCAGATGCATAGAGTTGCAACAAATATGGTATCCAACAGTTCATTCAAATAGGGTATGTCTACACTTGCACCCTATTTCGAAATAGGGATGCAAATGAAGACATTCGAAATTGCAAATGAAGCTGGGATTTAAATATCCCGCGCTTTATTTGCATATTCGCATTATAGCGCTATTTTGAAATAAAATGTGCTGTGTAGATAAAATGAGGTTTAACAGTTATTTTGAGAGAAGGATTTTCTCTCGAAATAACTCATCTACACCGCGTGTTTTATTTCAAAATAGCGCCATAACGCGAATATGCAAATAAAGCGCAGGATATTTAAATCCCAGCTTCATCTGCAATTTCGAATGTCTTCATTTGCATCCCTATTTCGAAATAGGGTGCAAGTGTAGACATACCCTTAGTGTGGATGTGACCTAACTGGGATAGGAATAATAGTTGTAAACTTCTCAAAACACCAGAATGGTTTGATCCCTTTCATGTTGTCTGAAACTGTGTTCAAAATAACACTGTTTTAAACCTAGAGTAAATGGAGTCCAGAGATGTATTGTCAGCTCTCTTCTTTGGATACCATCCCATTATTTCAGAGATGCACCAGCATTCTCCATATGCACAGCAGAATATTGGTCATAAACCACAGTCTCATGAACGACAACATGGAACATGTTCATAAACCAGCATATATATCGTACACACTGGAACACCTTCACCATCCAAAAATCAGAGATAGTAAAGTTTATACTATGTTGGAAAGTTAAATATACTTACTTGATATTTTTCTTCAATATTTTCTCCAGTTTCTTTACTTGTTGCTTGTAAAGTTTTAATTCCTGTACAGTTGGTCTGTTGGAAAGAAAATATTATATAATCAAACTACCGTTTTCTGAGTCAGGACTATACTGGAACTCTTTCTAGTGTAACAAAGTTTATCAGGAGTATGATTGGTTTTGCAGTTTTTCTATTTCCTCCAAAACTCTCTCTACACGGTCTTTTTGTGGTTTTGCTGGTATGAAAGCGCTTTTGCTGGTATAAGCTATGTTCACATGAGGCGGATTGCTGGTAGAGCTACATCAGCAATTTTCTTCTAGTGCAGATTAGGCCTTCGCATAACAATGCTACTAGTTTTGAGATCTCATTCTTACAAGCTGCTTCTGGCAATTAGTCGATCCAGGGAGTCTCTGGCTCCCACATGTGAATGGCTGCACTTCCTCTGCTTCTGAACACTGAGGCTGGGTCTACATTGGCACCCCTTTCCGGAAAAGGGATGCTAATGAGACCAGTCGGAATTGCAAATGCCGCGGGGGATTTAAATATCCCCCGTGGCATTTGCACAAACATGGCTGCCGCTTTTTTCCAGCTCGGGGTTTTGACGGAGAAAAGCACCAGTCTAGACGGGATCTTGCGGAAAATAAGCCCTCCATACATTTGGTCTTTTAGTGTTCCTGATTCATCAACTTATATTTGTTCATCAACATTTTAACAGCCACTCTTAAAAATGTGATTTAGTCGGTAGTTTTCTAAATACCATTTAGTTTTGTTATTCTTTTAAAAAAATTGTGTTTCTCCATATATCTTTCATTCTCTTATTACTGCACCTGAAAATAATTATCTATATTCAGATATACAGAACCATCAGCCTGAGGGTACATCTACACAGCAAGGCTAAAGCCGCACTAAGCTACGCAACTTGAGCTACGTCAATTGCGTAGCTAAAGTCAAAATAGATTATTTTGGCTTTTGGGGCTGTTACTCTTCCTTTGACTTTCCTTACTCCTCATAAAATGAGGGTTGCCAGAAGTCAGAGTAAGAAATCCTCCAGCTTGACATTATTTTGAAATAAAGGCTTGTAGTGTAGATGTGACACTGTTATTTTGGAATAACGTCCGTTATTCTGAAATAATGTAGCTGTGTAGACATGCCAAAGTGAAGGGCAAGTACTCAACAGGACAGTCAAACAGAATATTCAACAGGATGGATAAAAATCAGTGATTTTTTTTAATTTAAATTGAAATCTTTTTCTTGCACTGCTTACACGTGACATTTTCCTTTTTGCCTAGGGAATGAATTTCTTCAAAATATTCTCAGACAGGGTCTCTTTTACACTTAGAAGCCATGACAGTTTTTCTATGGCAAAAGTGTGGGGGAATATAGGAAGCTGTTTGTGTGCTGAATAATGTCTTCCCTTTTTCTTTCAAGTCCTCTCTACTGTTCCTTTCTATGCTGTCTCCATCCTTTTCTATATATTGTGTCTCAGTCTTTAGACAATATCTTAACTATCTCTTCTGTGTTTGGCCCAGGTCTCCTACCATATAAGCACAGAAAAAGAGTCCTGTCTAACTTGTGTCTGTCTTTGCACACGTTAGTCTGCTGAAACAAATTGAAAGCCGAGAACTTTCAAGAAGCAAGATCTGATATTTAAGCTGGACAGATGAGAACCATTAATTCATTTTTAGGAGACTAAGTGTAGGTATAGCATGTTGTGATAAGAGTTTCAATTTAATCTCATTTTTATATTAGAAATTTAGTATTTTGATTTTTTTAAAAATCCAGCTTGATACAGGCAATAAGTATTATGTACTATTTCCTAAATTAATAAAAATCAACTTATCTAAAAAAAAATACACAAAGTATACCTCTTAGATGTTGTTTAATGCTGTGCTGAGCTGTAAATTGACATTCTCTTGTCAATTTGACAAAATTTGTCAATTTGTCAACTTGATTTAAATCAATGACATTTTGTGATGATTTAAATCAATCCACCCTGATGCTCAATGCAGTAGCTGATGGTTCTCTTTACAGCTTAAAGCAAATTATTGCTGAAGCATCTTAGATAATTCTAGGCATTATTTTCAACAGCAAACTTCTTGGTGCATTTCTATAATTTCTGGTGTGTTGTGATGGTATCTACAGCTTTACAATAAAAGAAAAAGTCTGTTGAAAAGATTTTGCCAGAGACAAATTTTCACTTCTTACCTTGTTTCCAGATCTTTCTTGAGATCTGTATTTTCACAAATAAGTTGTTCATTTCTGGCTTTTGTCTCAGTGAGCTGATTCTGGAAAGACTTGAAAAACAAGTCTGTCTTGCAATCAGTACATAAAGAACCCATCTAAACAATGTGTGCCCTTTTACATCTACAAAACCATAACATCAGGATTTTAATATGTATATTATGATAGCTCGTACAGATCCTAGTCAAGGCCAAAAACTAGACAGCTAAGATGACAACAAACCTACCTTCTAGGAACATACAATCCAAGATGACACAAATGGGAATAAAGGACTAAAAATCAAATACATATGTACCTAGTATTTATTTTTACCTCAAGTATAACCATTATTTGTTATCTGCATTTATTAACATCTAGCAGTTCCATACCGTAAGCAGTGCTCTATAGTTAGGTGTGGCGTCTAGATTCAAGAATTCTTCTTTGCCTTTTCCTTCTCCTTGTACATGATCTATATCTTTTTTATATCTGCTTTGGGTGGAGAAGGGGGAAAATAAAACCCATGTTACTGAAATTCAACACACGTGAATGCAACGGAAGTAACACAAAATGAAAAGTGAAAAGCAGGACAGAATTCCATCTCTCAGGCTGCATTTCATTTACTGAATCAAATGCCAATGCAAGCAGATCACACTGCTCAATTACCAATCATTAGCTCAGATTCTTGGGTCAGTTACATGCTGAATGCTTTGCACTACCAGCTAGAACTCCCCTGGCATAGCAGTTCTATCTCTGGAACCCTAGCCAAGAGCCATGGACAGAGACAAATGGAACATGGATAGGCATGTACAGGCTGTGCTCTTCCAGAGTGCAAAATAGCATCCTAACTGGGCAGCCAGATGCAGAAGTATCTTTGAACCACTCTAGTTTATGCCATAAACAAAGATGGAAGACAGATCTCCCCATGATCTAACACCTGAAGAAGCGATGTACTTTTCATTCTTCCATCTTGGATGCTGATCAGAATCAGAGCACAGTATCTAAACTTCATGGCCATTGTAGTTCCTTGCTGCTTATGACATGCTAGTGATTTTTGGAACATATGTATCATTTAACCACTTTAATTTTCAACTAGGGGAAACCCTGAAATATGCTGAGTGCCCACCAAGAGGTGCTGAGCTCCCTCAACATCTAGCTCAGGATGCCTTCCCATTGAAGTCCAGGGCAAAATTCCTATTGACTTCAGCCAGAGAAGCACGTAATGTAACTTTATATACCAAAAATACAATAGAGTTAATAATTAACAGATTAATCCTACCTTAGGTCCTTTTTCATTTGATTAATCTGAGATTCATAATAATCAATCAGACTAAGAAATCTGAAGGAGGAAAGAAATATATTTTAAACTTTAAAAATATTCCATAAGCAATTACTCTATGTAATTTTAAATATAACGATCAAAAGATTGTAACCAAAGTCACAATGCAATATCTTATATCCCAAATATCCATTTGTCCCATATATTGTTTCAATGAATGCAGTGCTAAAAAGCCGTAACTTTCTGAGCTATGCATACCAGAGGAACTAGCGAGACCTGTATCAGGCTAAAATTGGCAGAGTCATTCAAAAGAAGGCTCACTGTGCAGGGTTAAAAGACAAGTCTGTGGCAATAAAGAGTACTTCATACACATATCAGATTGCAAATAGAGCCCCTTGAAGGTTAACAGCTTGACAAAAAGTTCCTTAAGTCCTAGGACTAGAGTATCCAAATGAGGGGACTCTGATCACACAAAGTGCCACAAGAAAGTTATTGGCTCAGAGTTTGCCAACTGAATTCTTATGACAATAAGGCCTCTGTGAAAACAGCAGTCTGTGAGACATTTTAATTTATCAGAAATATACAGATGATACTGGTTGTGGGGGGAGAGGATGAAATCCCCTACACCACTTTTGAAAGAGAGAGCAGCCTCCACAAACTGCCTCAGATGCTTATGGATAGGCTGCAGAGGCTCTGTGTGTGGGGGGAGGAGGGAGCGGGGTTTAAGACTTCGATCCATTCTGGATAAGGGATGTAAGCAACTAATGAACTAGTCGCTTCCCCACCACCCCCTCCTGCCTCTATCAGAAAGAGGCAGCAAGGAGGGAGAAAAGAAGAGGGAATGCTGGCTTGAAAGCTCCCGGGTTAAAAGCCATCCCCATCCCCGCTGGGGCTCTTGTACATTTCAAAGCAGAAGCTCCGCATGGAGCCCGGGGAAAGCAAGGCACTCCCCGCTGGCACCAGTCTCCATGCAGCATTTCAAAGGCAAACTGCCACGTGGCACTTCTGCCTCTGAAGTGTAGCAACAGCTGGGCAGGCTCTTGCTACATTTCAAAGTGGAAGTGCCCTTATCGACTAATCGATGGAATTTCCATCGACTATTCCATTAGTTGATTAATCTAATTTTAATATCCCTATTCTGGATATCTAAAAATTAGGATGTATCTATATAATATACTTTATATGTCTCCATATATAATTCTATTTATTATGGAAAGTGAGTCACTTTTTTCCCTTTGCTTCCACCTAGCATACAAAGGCTGAAATTCTTTTTCTTCTCTATGAAATTACTTACCCAATTAATATATATGTAAATAAGACCTGCAATTTCTAAATGACTAGTTATTTAAAAACTGTTTCTTCATTTTACATTATTAGGTTCTCATTTATGACCATGATGGTTCAGAGTTCCTTACTGTTGATCCAAGAGAGACTTTGGGGCTCGCTTGCAAAACTGGCAGAACATTTTGTTCTGTGTGGCAACACGCTGCTGCTCTTCCATCCCAACTTCATGGAGCTCCTTCTGCAAACGTGCAATAGTCTCTTCCTGGTCTTGCAACTTTTCTTTTTGTTGTTGGTACTTTGTCTGCAAATACATAATAGGAATTTCCTAAAAGGAGCAGGACACATGGTGTGTAAAACAAGAGACAGAGTTGGCAAACTACAATAATTTCACAAAATCTAAATGTATCCTTTCTACCTGTAGTGAACAGGTGGGAGGATGGGGGAGGGGAATTAATTTTATCTTTCATTACCACCTTTTTCTTCAAAGAATCGTGTAGGTATTTAAAATCATAAATAGACAGTATAACAATTTATAGTGACTGTTGGATTTAGTGCATGGGTACTGGTGGCCTGTGATTTACAAGTGGTCAGACTAGATGGTTTGGTGGTCCCTTTTAGCCTTAAACTCGGTAACACTCACATCCGTTATTTCAATCACTGAATATATTTCAGTAGCCCTTTAAACCAGTCAAAAACATTTGTGGTTTAAATCCCCAAACAATTACTCTTAGAAGCACCTGTGATGCTTGCTGATCTTTCTGCAGTTCTTTCACTTGATTCTGTTGTTGGCAAACTTTAGCTATACACTCATCTTCCAGTTGACAAATTTTGGATTTGATGTTCTCCACAACATTTTCCAAATCTTTGGCTCTTTGTTCCTGTCGACATGCCCGACCTCTCTCCTGGCGTACCTCATCTCTAATTAAAAAAAAAATTGAGCCTGACCTTCATTTATTATAAACTCACTTCAGTAATGTACTGATGCATTGGTACTTTTGAAGTTAAGCCCCAAAGGCAGGACACAAAGGGGACTCTTAGCAGCCTGTGAAAGTAGGGTAGTAAGGCAGGCCAGAACCCCCTTATAGAACATCTGTGGCAAAGTAGCCTAATACAATGACCCATAAATCCCACATGTCCCATGCAAAAGAACTAAGGATTTGGACTTAGGTGAGAATAAAAACTCCAATACAGCCTCTCTCCAAGTTACGAACGAGTTACGGACTAAACACTTGGCTGTAACTCGATCCATTTGTAACTCAGACCCCACAGAATTACACGCGACCGCTCTGTTCGTAAGCACGGGTCACGTTTGTAACTCAGGGACCACCTTTACGACCGCTCCATGGGAGCTTTGGTCGTAAGTGTGAACGGTTGTAACTCGACCGTTCGCAACTCGGGGAGCGGCTGTACTCAGAAAAAGAAAAGTTAAACAAAATTACCAAAAAATTAAACTAATTTTTTGTGCTCTGGTTGTCAGAAGTCATCTTTGTGGTGTCCTTACAGGTTTTTTCCTTCACCCAATGATAATCATTCAGCTGTGTGGGCGGCCCCTCTATGAACTGTGCTGGCTTTGCACAAGTAGCCAATACAGCAGACTCCAAAGCCCCCCAAAGACCACAAAATCAGATAAGGATTAGGGATGTAAGCAACTAGTTGACTAGTTCCTCGACTAGTTGCTTCCCCCCCCCTGCCTCTAGCATAGGCAGCAAGAGGAGTGGGGAGGGAGGGGGTGTAAGAAGCCAGTGCTGAAGGGAGCCAGCTTAAAAGCTTGTTCCCCACAGCACTGTCTCTGCAGAGGGCAGGGGAGTAGTGGGGACCAGGCTTGAGCTGGGAATCAGCTGATTCCTGACTCTCAGCTGACTCCTGACTCATGCCCAGTCTCAGACGCTGCAACTCTGCTTTTTAAACATAGAAGAGGCCGCCAGCTCTTAATACATTTAAAAATCAGAAGCACAGCAGCGGAGGGAGGCAGGGAGGGTGAGAGAACGGGACGATGCCCACGGGCTCTTAATACATTTAAAGGACTAAAGCACAGCAGGGCGAACCTGACACTAGCCGGGAATCAGTTTTCCCGGCTTGTGCCAGATCCGCACCCACTGTGCACCAGCCCTTTAAATATATTAAGAGCCTGCGGGCTCTTAATGCATTTAAAAATCAGAAGCTCAGCAGGGGGGTATCCAGCACAAGCCAGTGATCAGTTGACCCAGCTCATGCTGGATCCCCCCCTGCTGCGCTTCAGCCTTTTAATTGTATTAAGAGCCTGCCAGCTCTCAATATATTTAAAAGGCAGAGCCGCAGCAGGCCCCACTGCAGCTCCCCTGCTTATCAACTAATAGATGGAAAATCCATCAACTAGTCAATTTGTTGATTAAACTATATTTAACATCCTTAATAAGGATTAAAGGCACCAGTCCAGTTTATTGTAAACGAAGTACAGTAATAGCTACCCCAGATTAGATGTCTACAAACATATGCCTGCGACAATGGATTCAGATCAGTCAGTGACAGGGATGCGACACTACCCCCTTAGCTGGACAAAACTTTCTTGGGGTACATTTTTATACATAGGTATAAACAAGTTACACATCCCTCCTGATGTAGAACGTTGCCACCTTCTAACATTACCTAGATACCATCCATTACCTTGCACATGAGGGTTCGAACGCTATCATATTATCAGTTTAAACCCTGTCCTGAACTTGGATCAGTATGTCTATTATTTGTGGGGAGTGTGTTGATGCCAAGATGTTTCTTCACAAGATGTTTTGTTTACAACCTTTGTGGAATCTTCTTACAGCTTGTGCTTAGTACCTCTTAGGTATGACTGTTTCTGTAATATCAGCTATTCTGGCATACTTCTGTTAGCAAAATCTTGATCATTATGGCCTAGACCTGAGGCCTCACCTATGATACAAAGGCTTATGTTTCAGGTCCTCATCTTACTATATGTGCTACTTGCCTAATTATAGGACACATTTTTACATTTGTGAAAAACCCTTTTTCACTGACAGTCTTACCTAAGCTGGCGATTAGCCTCCATAAGCCCATGCATCATTTTCTGTTGTCGTTCAGTGTCTTCCACTAGTGTTTTTAATGCAAGTCTTATCCCCAGTGAAGAGTGCTTGTCTAAAACAATCATATCTGTAGACATTTAAGATAGAAAAGAAAGTAATAAAAGGAGGTGCAACTTGCACCTCCATAAACATTTGGAAGTGAAAGGTTAAATCAAAAGATATTTTGTTAAATGTCATAGTTTTAAATAAAAAAAATTGCTAGAGAACAGCACATCATTACCTGAAACATTTCTGCTGTTTCTTGGTTTAGCAAGACACACAGGTTTTAAGCCATGTCGCACTAATAACTTGTTTATGTTTTCCCACTCTGCTTCCTCCTGCTTCAGGTGGGAAGAGAGGTAGAAGAGAAACAAACTTTGAATTCTGAGAGTCATCTAACAGTATTAAACAATGCTACTATTCCCTCTAAGGCTATGTCCACACTACAAGGTTTCTGGCAAAAACGGCTGTTTCTGCGCAAAAACTGGCGAAGCATCCACACCTCAAGTGTGTTTTTGCGCAAGTAAATCAGCAGAACAGAGGGCTTTTGCCGGTAGAGTTATTCCTCTCCCCACGAGGAATAGCTCCTTTTTGCGCTTACAGCTCTTGCTCAAAAAGGCAGGTGTGGATGTTCCGGAGAGGGTTTTGTGCAAAAAACCCCTATCAGCAAAAGCACAGGTACTCTGATGGTCATTCTGTGAATGGCTACCAGAACTTTCTTATGCAAGAGCATCCATGCAGTGTGGGCGCGCTCTTGCACAAAAGCACATCGCTTTTGCGATGCTCTTTGAGGTCTGGATGCCCTTTTCCACAAAAACTCTTTGCGGAAGATCTCTTCCACAAAAGGCTTCTTGTGCAAAAACCCTGCAGTGTAGATGAAGCCTAGTTGTGTGCACAACTGAATGCTTTTTCTAAAGCTAACGAAACACAGTAACATGCCTTAGTTACAAAAGGAATTCAGAACCCAAGCTCACTCTTGGCAGTTTAAAAGGTTTTCAGTTCACCTTCAGTGACGATCTACAAGAAGGAAAGAAAAATGCACCGAACTCTATATTAAATACTGTATCCTAACTCTCTAAACCCGTGGTCCCCAACACGGTGCCCACGGGCGCCATGGCACCTGCGGGTGCATTTATGAGCGCCCACGCCAGCGTTTTAAAACTACTCTCATTCACCCCTGCTTACAGCAGGGTCAGCAGCCTGAGGCCCGTGAGGGAGCTCAACGCGGCGCTTTGGAGGCTTGAGCCCCGCCCTCTCTGCAGCAGGCAGCCCGCACAGGCACGTCAGTAACCGGAGCAAACCCCACGCTGGTCGGGTCTCCCCTCTTCCCCCCCACGCAAAACAGCCGTGGCGGGGCCCTTTGTGGTGCAAGAGCTGCGAGCCAGCAGGGGAGGACCCCCATTGCCGCTTCCTCCACCCCCCGCCCGCACAAGCCCATTGGCCAGACCTGGACAATGGTAGCTGTGGGAACCTACCAGTCCCCAAGCACATGGCCAGGCAGGTTCTGTGGGAGAATCAGAAGAGCAGTGCATCTCGCTGGTAAGTGTCTGGCCCCCCAGCTACTCCCACTCCGATATCTTTACCCACAGAACTCTCCTCCCAGACCCTGCACCCAATCCCCTGCCCTGAGGCACAATCCAAAACCCTGGCCTGACTCCCCCTTCCTCCCCCCCAGTAAAATGTCTGGTATTTTCAGTTTCTCAGCTGGAAAGCCACTTGGGACATTCCCTGCCATGTGGAAGGGAGTGTGAAATGTAGAGGTGCCGTGATTTTTTGGGGGGGGGGAGGCGGTTGCTTTTTTTGCTCAACATTTGGACATCTTCCTCTTTTTATTAATGCAGAATTTTTAAAAAAAAACATTACAATATAATTAAAATAAAACTTAGCCAACTAAATTAAGTTTCTATCAGATTTACCCAATTCACATTTAATATGAAAATAGCCTTCAATGCCACATTCTTCTGAAAACATGAATGTGCTACTGGCTACAAAAAGGTTGGGGACCACTGCTCTAAACAATCTATTTCCACATTTTAAAGGTTGGGGGGAGGGGTAGGAGAGAGAAGTGTTGCAAACTTACACACTATTTGTTTAAAGAAAGAAGAACTTACCTGACACCCTACTGCATTCCAGCTCCATGTTTCAGTGGACTTTTGTGCTGGACTCACTGGCACAGAGCCTGCTGGGGCATTACTTGACAATGCATAACTTCGTGGGACCTGAACACAAACAAAATAAAATAGTTATATGGTGACTGCCCTCAAATCTTTGCTATGTAGTCAAGTCTTTTGTTTTCCATCTTTATCAAAAATGTTCTGAGTTTTACAAAAGCCTGTGTGATTTTTATTGATTTTAACCTGAATACCACTCAAATACATGAAAATACTGATTTTGTTAAGACAGTCAAATAAAGAATATTAAATAGACATATTTATGTGAATATTAAACTAGTCAAAGTATAAATGTGAGGTAAGGATGTTAAGGACTAGTCAACTCTCCAATAAGCATTTGCTCATCGGATAGTCTGTCGATTAGTCAATTCCCCCCCTCCCTGCTGCCGCTATGAAATAGAGGCAGCAAAAGGGGGGGAGGGGTACTTCAAAGCAGCAGTGCAGCACAGCTGAGTTGGGGAACACCAAAGCGTGTGAAGCCCGTGGTCAGCTGGGGACTCCCCAGCTAACCCCGGATTCTGAGCAGCATTTCCCCAGAACCCAGGGTCAGCTATGGATTCCCCAGCTGACCCCAGATTCCAAGGAAATGCCACGTGAAACCAGGAGTTCCCAGCTGATCCCAGGCTCCTCATGGTGTTTCACTGGAACCCAGGGTCAGCTGGGGAGTCCCCAGCCGACCCATGTTCTGGGGAAATGCGGCACGGAACTAGGGTCAGCTGGGGAGTTCCCCACTGACCCCAGGCTGCATGGCTTTGAAATGCACAAGAGCCCCCGCTGGGGACTCTTGTACATTTCAAAGCAGCGACCAGCATGCAGCCCAGAGTCAGCAGGATTTCTAGCTGGCTCTGGGTTGTACGTGGAGTTCCACATTCCTCCTTTGAAATTTACAGCAGGGTGTGACGGGGCGAGGCAGCCCCACACTGAACCTACAGGGCCCAGCCAGGGTTACCTGGCTGCAGAGGCCCCTCCCCCGCAGCCCTACCGAGCATGCCCAGGCTGCAGCAGGGCTATAAAAGCCTGGGCCAGGACTCAGTCAGGGGAGGCAGCCGAAGGAGAAGGGAGCCCTCAGCAGTTGCCAGGGACTCCAGGAGAGGCCAGAAGGAAGGCGGAGGCGGATCGGTGCAACCCAGAGACGGCCTGCCGAGGGGACGCTGGCCTGGAGATCGCAGCCAGCTGGGCAAGTCCAGAGGAAGGAAGCCCGGGGGTCCAGGTAGGAAGTGGCCCAGGGCAGGAGCAGGAGCCGCCGCTCCCAGCCCGAGAACCTCGGCGTGTTTTGGCTGGGTGGCTCTGCCGAGAGTGTGACCTGGTACCTGGTCACTCACAGGGCCCTGGGCTGGGACCCGGTGGAGTAGGGGGGGCCCGGGTCCCCCTACCTGGGGTGTGCCCTGCTACAACGACAAACTGCATTGTGGACTCGGCCTTGCTTAAGGGGCCAGCTATAGACTGTTTTGTGGACTCCGGCCAGGGGGCCTTAACCCTGCTTAAAGGGCCAGCTATAGACTGTTTCGGGGACTCAGGCCAGAGGGCCTTTGGCCTGGCTTAAAGGGCCAGGGCGAGACTGTATCACAAGGGGTTGGGGACCCAGGCAGGAGGGGCCCGCCACATGGGGGTTCTTGTACATTTGAAAGGAGGAATGCGGAAGTACCTATCGACTAGTTGAGTAGTCGATGGAAATTCCATCAACTACTTAACTAGTCAATAAACCGCATTTTAACATCCCTAATGTGAGGCTGTCAGTTAAATAAAGGCAATGATGCAGAAAATACACAAGCTCATACAAGAATAGAGATCACTGTTTCAGTCACAGAGAAAAAAAATAAGTGTCAGAACTCCCCAGATGCTACTCTCCATCCTGAAAAGAAACGGTGGCTTGGTAACCTGAGCAGCCTTTCTAACAAAGCTACCATCTCTCCCTCTGGATCCATTTTAAAAGAGGTGGAAGCAGCAGCAGGAGATGGCTCCTTCACCCCTTCCTCTTTTGGGCCCACTTTTCTCTATATGTTGTGTTTTTTTTCTATCCTCCCATTGCCCTAATATTAATCCTGATATTTACGGTAACCAGAATGCTGTGATGCTAATTTTTTGAATCAATGTTCCTCCATTTTTATTTTTTTGTTATAAACATTAAAACATTCCTAGAAAATCTAACAGAAAATAAAAATAAAAAACAATGGGGCTTGTATATGGTACACAAAGCACTCAGACCTAGGTAGAAGAGCTGCAAAAGGTGTAATAATGGTTCTACCACTGACTTTTCTCATTAGTAATGTGTTTAAATACTATAGTCTTTCTTCATGTGAAAAACATGAATTATGTTTTTTTAATTCCGTTTACAGAAAGCCATTAGTAAAAGGCCAAGAACGTTAAAACCTGAAGTCTATGGGGAATGTTCATTCCTCAGCTCCTCTGAAAATTAGGCCACTTCCCAACTTCCACTGATTTCAGTGGAAATTCAGATCCTCAAAATCTATTTAGGAATTGATTTTAATGGAAGTTACCCTAAATCAGCGTTTCCCAAATTATGGGCCATGACCCGTAACCGGGCCACGGGAAAAAAATACCGGGCCTCAGTGTGGCTGCCAGCGTGTTCTGGGCTCCCGGACTGTCCATGCAGCGCTGGGTTCCCCAAGCCCTCAGACGGGCTGGGCGGATGCAGCCGTATGTTTCAGGCTCCCAGCAGAGGCATAGTGAGGGTTACCAGGTAAGCTCTTATTGCTGGCTGTGGAGGTGGGGTTGGATATTGGCCGCAGGGAAGCAGGGTCGGGGCAAGCAGGGTCAGGGCAGTGGAGATGCCCAGGGGAGACAGGGAGGGGAACCGGCCGGGAGAAGCAGGGCTGGCGAGAGGAGATCGTGAGGGTGGGAACCGGCTGGCGGGGGCAGTGAAGCTGGCTGGGGGAGATTGCGGGGCAGGGCTAGCGGGGGGGGGGAGGGAAGTGGGGCTAGTCAGGGGAGATCGCGGCGGGGGGGAAGGAGAGAAATGGCTGGCAGAAGCAGGGCTGGCCGGGAGGGGAGGGGGCAATGGGGCTGGCCAGGGGAGATCACGGGGGTGGGAACCAGCTCGCGGGGGCAGTGAGGCTGGCTGGGGGAGGGGTCATAATTTGCTTAATGAATATGCAAATATGTTACCAGTCCTCCAAAAGCTGGATGGATTGGAATGGATTTACTGGTCCCTGTGTCAAAAAGTTTGGGAACCCCTCCCCTAAATGTCTTTGAAATCTGGACTCTATTATTTAAAATCTTTGCCAGAATCACCCATTCAAAATATATTTGAGTGTGAGTCTTAATTTAGAAGTAAAGCAATTATGAGCAATTTTACAACAACAGTGTGGGCCAGGGACATTTCTATTAACTCACTGCTTTCTTGCCTCTTTCCTATGGTGACAATTGCCTACATTTTCATTTTGTAGCTAGCCATAGTAGCCGTATTTATACAGATAAAGCCCGATTTTAGAAATGAAATGAATGGCAGTTGTGTGTGTTCAATCCTCTTGAAAGTCAAGCCCAGAAATATTTTAATGAATTACCATACCACTAGAAGTGGATGCACATACAACAGTTTGTATGGGGAAATTATTCATCTTTTTGGTTTTATCATGTGCTAAGTTCGCAATGTATTAACTTTTTGTTTAAGTGGAAAAACAAGAGATTATTTGCAAAATGATCAAGTTACTTCAGGTCAAATTGCGAGCATACTGTTTGACAGGCTTGCCACATTACTACTACCAGAAATATTAACACAAAGAAGGTATATCTTTAATAAATTTGTTCTACGGTGCAAAATACAGTTTACATGAATAGTACTATACCTCAGTCATAATTTACTCCTGTGTTGTTTTCACTGCCAGATTGTTAAAAATATCGGAATGGTCTCTGATCTGAAGCTGTTCAAGTATTAAAGGGAAGAAAACAACAAAAGTCAAATTTTACTGAACTGTGCCCTGCACTACATATTTTGTTCAATCCTCTCATTGCCAACAATGACATTTATAGGTATTATGCAGAAGAGTTTTGGTTCCAGAAGTCACAATACTGCATGACAAAAATATACCAAACATCTTAAATTGTAAACAAATACAGGTTAAGTATCAGAGGGGTAGCCGTGTTAGTCTGAATCTGCAAAAGCGGTGAGGAGTCCTGTGGCACCTCATAGACTAACTGCAGTGTAGGAGCATAAGCTTTCGTGATGCATGCATCTGACGAAGTGGGTCTTTGCCCACAAAAGCTTATGCTCCTACACAGTAGTTAGTCTATAAGGTGCCACAGGACTCCTCGCCGCAAATACAGGTTAGACCTCTCTGGTCCAGCACCCTTGGGACCTGAGCTGTTCCAGACCAGGGAGTTTGCCAGACCAGGGAAAGTCATCCCCACCCTGCTGGCTGCCCCACTCCTGGGCTCCTCGCCCTGTCACTGGCCCTGCTAAAGCTTGCCTGCCACAGCTCCCCACCTTGTTGCCCACCCACTGCCCCAGGGTGTCCCAAGGTTCTTGGCGGGGATCGCTTGGCCGCTGCTGGTCCCACTGCCGCCAGGTGTTCTCCAGAGTTCCCAACTAGGGCCACCCGGCCACCGTCGGCCCTCCTGCCGCTGGGGGTTCCCCAGCCAGGTCCACACCATCGCTGGGGATTCCGGCTGCCCGCTTCTGCCAGCCCCACTTCAGTAGAGGGTTACACCGGGACTCCCCAGCTATGTGGCCTCGTTAACACGGGGGCTTCCCCAGCCTGGGCAGGAGCCTGGCTGGGGCTAAGGGTCCTAAGCCACTGGCTTTCCCTGTTGATGCTGGGGGTTCCAGGCCAGCACAGGGGCTCCCGAAATGCAGCCTGGCCCAACTGGGGCTCCCCAGCCCTATGTTGCTCCAGGGCTGTTTGGTCCAGCAACATCGCTGGCCCTGCCAGACCACGGATGTTGCCGGACCAGAGTCCCAGATTTGGGAGGTTCAACCTGTACCATTATATTACAGTGCAAGATGCAATACAGACCAGTGGTGGGCAACCTATGGCCCATCAGAGTTCAATGTAGGAATGTTAACTATCATTTGTGTAAATGTCTAACCCCTGAAAATTTTAGCAGTTACACATTTACATGCAGGGGGACAGGTGCAAGCACCAGCTCCCAGCTGCCCCCGATAAAGAGCAAGCAGCATCGGGGAGAGGAGCAGGCGGTTACCTAGGAGCCAGTGCTTGTCAGGAGCCAGCTTTTAAGCTGGATCTCTTGAGCTCTGGTCCCCTTTTACTTCCCCCCCAGCGCTGCTGCCTCTGTGGGAAGCAGTGGCGAGCTGACTTGAAAACTGGCTTGCCTTACGTGCCAGCTCCAAGGGGCCATAGCAGGCAGGAGCCAACATGCATGGGGAGCAGGCTTTTAAACTGGCTCTTCGCACATGCTGGATTTCGTGACGCCCTGCCCCGCCACTTTCCAAAGAGTCAACAACATGGGGAGAGAGGAGGTGGACATGCAGAAGCCCCTCTCCCTCCTGCCTCTGTGGGAGGCAGCAAAGGGAGGTGGGGGCTTTTGTAGAGCAGGCATGCACAGAGATTCAGCTTAAAAGCCAGCTCCCCGTGTGTATCAGCTCCCATCTGCTCTTCCTCTCCCTCGGGCACTGATGCCTATTATAGGCAGCAGCGCGGGGGGGAAGCCAGTGCTCAGGGGGGAGTCAGCTCCCACCTCCCCCACGCTACTGCCTCTGTGGGAGGCAAATGGCTCTGTGGCAGGCGGCAAGCACAAGGACCCAGCTTAAAAGTTGGCTTCCTATAGACACCGGCTTCCACCTTTGAAATATCAGAAGCGGTAAGGGGGGAGGGAATTTGCATGTAGTTGTTATGATTAATCAATAAGCCTGGGCTTATCGGTTAACTGTGTAACCAACTATACATTAACATCCCAAGTTCAATGTGTGGCTTGCAAGACATTTTGTTCACCACTGCCCAAGTGCAAGGTTGCCAGATTCTGCTGGTCTCCATCTAATTTTTTCCCCCGACTGATATTGCTAAAGTGACGTTCACATAAAGCAAGGGCACGTGAAAAGAGATGAGTACGGACCACACAATTCAGTCAGCACACCTGACAAATGCTAGGTATGCAAAACTAGGTTAGGAAAACTACACTATTCTGGGAGGCCATCTTGGTTCTGATAATCTTGCAACCAAGATGAAGGAGGACCACTCATGCAGCCCACTCACTAACGTAGTTAGCCGATTGTGATACAGATCAACCCATGTATTGCAGCAGCCTCCAGAATAGGGATGGGGAACCCCTCCAGCCCCAACCTTTCCCTATCTCCTAGGAGGCAGGATGGCACACCACACGCATGTTCCCCCCTTCCAACCGAGGGGAGGAGGTGTGCAGTCGCCGCAGCCTCCCCAGCACTGTTGGAAAGCACAACATGCCACGTGGCCTGGCCGAGCCCAGCCTCTCGAGCACTGAAGGAGAGAGGAGGCAGGGCATGCTGCACGGAACAGCCCAGTCTAGCTCAGCCTGTCCAGTCCCAGAACACCAAAGGAGGGAAGAGAGCATGCCATGCAGCCAAGCCTGGCCTCCCCAACCCTGGAGCACTGGGAGTGCTGGTGCAGGGGGAAGCAACACTCCGCCCCCAGAACGCTTACAGCGGAGTGTGGACGGGGCTATGCCTGATGCTTTGGCACAGTCCTCCCCCACCTTACATACCTGATGTCAATGAGCAGCCGCTGACCCACAGAAAAATCAGTTGGGCGCACATACGTATTTTGTGCCCAGAGATGCAGAAAGACACTCCCCACACTGCCCTTGCACACCAGAGCCTGGGGGGCCCAGGCGAGTAGATTTTGAGTGCTCCAAAACCTGGCAATCCCCACCAGGGCTGTTCTGGAGCGCAGCTGCAAGGCCGACTGCCGGCCCCACAAGGGCAGACGATGGGTATTTAATGAGGGGGTATTCTGGCCAAGGGCGGCTGGTTAAATGCCTGCGTTAGCCCCCTGCTGTTAACACTCACTGACTGGCTAAAAATCCCTTT